CCATCTCCATTTTCAAGGTCAGATCTACGTAGCGTTACAACGTAGTCATAATGGTATGTTTGTAAAACATATTCTCTTGAAATAGAAATCATTTGTTAATCTGCAGAATCCTCACCTGTGACCATAGAACTATACCATACAAAACAAAACAGAAACCAAGCTGTTCCAGTATTGTCCCATCCTGTCAAGAACACCCTACCTTTTGCCAGACGAAAATCTCTGCACCACATCTCATAGTGGTGGTTGAAGAACATCTTTGTGCTTATACTTTCCAATAAAATGGGTGAATGTATTTGCCAATATTTACTGTATGGGATGTTGTTGTGATCGTTCTTCATCACAATGGCTTTATTATGTGTTACCACGTTATTTTCTGGGGTGGGATTCAGCCTAATTGGACCGGTTCAGGCGAGCCAGTTGCTCCGACGATCAGCTGAGAGGGAACTGGTTCGCTTCGACAATCATGTGGGCCCGCCCGCCCGCCTCTGTGCTATACTGGCCTTTATTTTCTTTTTTTGAAGCCCAGCTGATAGGCGCGGCAGAGTGGATTGCTGCCTCAGCTGTTTTACTCACTGGGGCTGCAGTCGAAGGTAAATTTTAGACCGGTTTGGAAATTAACTGTGCATGTGTGAAGCGCACGCTCAGCGAACCAGTTGTTGTACTGGTTGAATCCCACCACTGATTATTTTTGCTTAAGATTTAGCTTTTCATTCATGCTTTCCTTTGTTCTATGATACTGTAAGCAGTTATTGGTTTACTTAGTTTACAGCTTGCTTCCTCCCCCCCCCCAATACTAAACTAGTAAGATAAGTTGCTCAATATATAATATATAAACAAACAAACAAATAAGGAGGCTCGTGATCTGTACGGTTTTAAAATAGTAGCAAGTTTGGGCAAAATAATAGCCTGCGACGCTCTGGAGACTGAATATTGTTATGGATGTTTGCCTTGCTCCTTGGCCGCAGCAGGAAGGCATCGAGGTCAACGCTTGTTGAGGTAAACTAAGCAAGATCTTAGGTGCCAAAAAAGTAAGCCAAGATCAAAAGAAACAAGGGGAATGAAAATGAACATCAACATTGTGCCTGTGACCTAAATTATATTAGTCTTACTAGATGACATGCAGAACTTTTTTCATTTTACCAGCCCTTAACTCATAACCTCTCGCTTCAATAAATATAAGATTCCCCAGAGGACGCAAATCTCCCCAAACTAGTCTAGTTCCTCCTAGAAGCTCTGGTGCCTATTGATTACAATCAAATCTCACATGTTTTCTAGGAGCTTAAAACAACGTCCATTGGTGTCTCTGTTCCTTCTATTATCCTCAGAATCAGCTTGTGAGATAGATAAGGGCTAAAAGCTATTAGAGATAGATCAAAAATTTGAACTTAAATTTCCCATATCTCTGTAAAAGTACAGGTAATCCTCTACAACTATTTGCTTAGTGACCGTTTAAAGTTATGACACTGAAAAAAGCGACTTACAATCATTTTTCCCACTTACAACTGTTGCAGCATCCTTGTGATCACATGATCAAAATTCAGACACTTAGCAACTGATTCATATTTAGGACGGTTGCAATATCCCAGGGTCATGTGATCCAGAGGTGGGTTTCAGCAGGTTCTGACCAGTTCTGGACAACCGGTAGCGGAAATTTTGAGTAGTTTGGAGAACCGGTAATAAAAATTCTGACTGGTCCCGCCCCCATCTATTGTCTGCCTCCCAAGTCCCAGCTGATCAGGAGGAAATGGGGATTTTGCAGTAACCTTCCCCTGGATTGGGGAGGGAATAGAGATTTTACAGTATACTTCCCTTGGAGTGGGGTGAGAATGGAGATTTTATAGTATCCTTCCCCTGCCATGCCCACCATGCCACGCCCACCAAGCCACACCCACAGAACCGGTAGTAAAAATTTTTGAAACCCACCACGATGTGATCCCCTTTTGCCACCTTTTGATAAGCAAAGTCAATGGGGAAGTCAGATTCATTTAACAACCATGTTACTAACTTAACAACTGCAGTGATTCATTTAACAACTATGGCAAGAAAGGTCGTAAAATGGGGCAAAACTCACTTCATGACTGTCTCACTTAGCAAAAGAAATTTTGGGCTCAGTTGTAGTCGTAAGTCGAGGACTACCTGTTCAGTAAAAATACCCTAAAGCTTTTTGGCTAGATAGGAATTTGGAGACCATATTAAGCCATTTGCAAACAATGGCTACAGGGGACTTATCCATTTACAAAAGGTGTCATAGATAAGGTTACCAGACATCCTGCAAAAGGAGGACAACAGTCTTAAAATCAAATATTGTCCAGCTTTTTAAATGTCTTTTTAAATTTTGTTTTATTTTGGGTTGTTTTCACAACTTGCCGTTCACATTTTCATGTACTGTGACCCTGTACATTGTCTGCTTCTTCTTTTTTCTTCACCCAGTGATAGATTCAACAAACTAAATTTACCTTATTTCCCCGATCCCAGCAATCGGCTTCGATCACATGACTCATCGTATGGTGAAATTTGAAAATTATGCCATTGTTGACTCTCTATTATTGCTAATGTAGGTTCTCGAAAATAAAGATTAGGTGGAAAAATACTGCAACTGAAAAACTAATCTTACTGATGTTGGAAAAAGTAATTTCATATAAATGTAAGCCTATGTACATGTTTTTGGCTGTAATTTTTTTGTCATAAATACTAAGAAAGTTAAGCAATTAGTGTGTTCTCTTCCCCCCTTCCCTGTCCTTTCCAATAGTTGACATCTTCCTTTGCTTATTCAAATATCTGGTCCCTCTAGTTTTGAGAGACCAAGCCAACTACAAAGCACACAGTCACACAGCATATCAAAAGATTCTCCCATATGGTCTAGCAGTTAGGATTCCTGGTTTTCACCCAGGCGGCCCGGGTTCAACTCCCGGTATGGGAAAGTTGGAATTTTATAGATTATACACAATTCCTTCTTAATGCTTCCCTCCAGGAGACATTCTGATGACTGCTTATTGTTTTCCCTTCCCTGGGCAGAGCATTGGAAGCCTACAACCTTGCTTTGCAAAATATCAGGGTTTCCCCCCCCTTTTGAAAAAAATGGCAGAAGGAAGCCTGGTAGATGTTAAAGGCTCTAACCAGAATTTTACATTAGCTGTTAAAGGTAGTGAGACAAAAGCAGAGCAGGCAAGGGGTGGCACTGAAGTGTTTCACATGTGGATGGTACTAAACTAAAGGAAGACAATTTTATAGCTTAACCCTCCTCCTTCTCCTCCTCCTTGCACTTCTCATAAGCCTTGACAAACAGTGCAAGCAGTGGAAAAAATGCTGGGTAAAAATGCAAATGGCACCTCCAATTTATAGATAAGGTATAGTCTATTATAATTGAATTATAAATTGGAGATCCTGTTTGTACTGTTTCCTCGACACTTTGTTTTCCACTGACTGGGAATAAGGACCATTTGTAGCAACCTTCCCTTATCTATTATTCTCTGGATAGATTAGATTAGATTTATTTTAAAGAGTTCTGATTAGGAAAGGCTGGTCTAGGTTGTTTTGTTGTTGATACTTTTAGTAGTATTTTTTTACACATGCACTTATGGTTGTTGTGGTTTTATTGTAAGCCACCCTGAGCGCCATCTAGTGGAAAAGTAGTCACAGATTGTCTATCAATTAATCACTCAAACACTACTGACTGGAAGGTCTTCTATGAAATAAGTCATAGCAGGGTAAATGTCTATACCATCAAGTAGAGGATATGTATGACCATGGAAACTTGAAAATTCTCTTGCAGAAATATCATCACAACAAATTACCGTGATTTTGAACTGCTGATTTAACTGTTTCTATAAGACAATTATTGAGGGAGCAACTGTATACCATACTGCTAACTGCAAAATTTATACATAACATAAAGTGATGTAACTTGCTGGGTTTGGGCTTAGCTCCAAAACCCAAGGAAAAATGATTTTTTTAAAAAAATCACAAATCCTATTTATACTAACCATATCTGAACCACGGGTGGGTTCCACTTACCTTTACTACCGGTTTGCAACAGGATCGCGTGCGCGCCTTGCTTCTGCGCATGCACAGATCACCGATTATGACATCCGGGGTGGTGGGCGGGGCCTCCCGCCAGTTTTACTACCAGTTCTTGCGAACCAATCTGAAGCCGGGGGCAACCCACCACTGATCTGAACCTAGAATACTGGCTTATTCCTGCTCTAACTAATACCAAGAGACTAAAGAAAACACAGATTGAGAGCTAGATATTGATTCTTCCAACATTTACATAAGAACTGCTGTTTTCTAAATCCTCAGATTCTGATGCTGACATGCCTAGGAACTTGATATTTTCCCCCTATCCATCTAGATAATGTTCCACCCTCCTTCAGTCAGGTTACATTTGCCATCCTTCTTAAGAGAAAAATCCTGGGTATTTACTATTATTTTCAGAAAATCTTTATTTTGTGTCATCTTTAGCTTGGAATTGGATGACTCACACCCTGAGAAAGGGGAGATGAATGGAGAAACCTCACGCATATGGCAGCTATTATAGCAAGTTGGTTTTAAATTACGCTATGCTACAGCTGGCTGTGAGGGGGAGGTGATGGTGGTGGAGAGGGGAGGGGAGGGGCGAGTCCTAACATCCCTATGGCCCCCTACTAGAGAAAAAGGAAAAGGCAAAAAAAAAAAGGATTCTACTTCCTGCATGCCCTGCAGAAATTTTTGGCCAGGAGTGCTATAATTCACTGACTTGTTCAAGAATGGGGGATGGGACCCCAGCGGGAACTCTGGAAGAGGAGAAGAAAATTAATGTTAGAGCTTCTACCAAAAGCAAAACAGCAGCGCTGGAAGGATGCTGGGAGTGGGGGGGGGGCGGCTTGAGGAGAACATCAATTGGTTTGATTTAGTGTCCTTTGCAGATAAGGTGCTGCAAAAGAAAAGCAGAGCTGAAGCAAATTCTGAAGGCAAAATCAGTGGATCATAATTTTAAACGCAGTAATAAGGAGGCACATAATGAGAGAGCACGCAGGGCGTTTAATCAGTACTTCAAGCACTTAATGCAGTACAACAATTTTGTCTTATTGAGAACTCCTAAGATTCCCAAAAATTTCTCTAATTAGGGCCTTCTTGATGGATTGGGATGATAATTCCCAGAAATTCCAGTCAGACGGAACATACTGAGAGGGCAACAGGTTAGTTCTCAGTTTCTCTCTCCTCTCTCTCTTTCGGTCTATCGGTGACAGAATGTGGGAGATGCTACCAGCTGCAATAATACACAAAGGATGAAAAATCCTGAGATGTGTTAGCTAGATGAATCATTTTCAGTGTCTGCTTCAAATCTCAGTAATCCCTAAACCTGATTCCTGCATCACCTCAACTCATCATGGTGTATTCTTTATTGAATATATTGTAAGAGGCTGATGACTGCACAACATCCTAAGCCAAAAACCAACAAAAACCATATAATGGTTTAGTGACATGTGTGATCTATGTCGCAATCACCGTAGTGCTTGGAAACCAGGTTCAGGAACTGCGTCAGAGCCAGCAAGTCCCACCGTGATACTAGGAAAGGAGGAGGAGGAGAGTACTGGCATAATTTATTTATTCTTTCTATCCAGTCTTTTCTCTTGAGAAATTAAGATTACAAAACGTATGAATTTCCCTTCATTTTATCCTGACCACAAACCTATGGTAGCCTATTGGGCTTCAAGAGATTGATGGAACTAAACTCAAACAGCCCTTTTGTATGTGTTTGTATTATCCTCAGCTACAGTATTGAATTACTGCCTTATTCTTGCTTTTAATTAGGTGCCACCAAGTTGATGCTGACTCTCAGCAATGACAAGGATAAATTTTCTCCATGATACATTGTCCCAAACCTGGTTCTTCAGGTCTTGCCAACAGTATTGTACTGTGACAGGAATAAACTCTGTCATCTCTCCAATTTGTATTTACGTAATCATATGGAACAGAAATACCAAACTTTTGACAGGATGAACTAGTTTCTATCAGACTTTGAATCTAACTTTAATGATTGAAGAAAAATATTTGAAATGTGCAGCCTGTTTTAAGCATGGCCTTGCATTAGTAATTATTCACTCTGTCCATGCTTTCTAACTAAAATGCATTTTGTCTCTTCCCTGTGTATAAAAGACCACAATTTCCTCAGCCTACTGTACTTGCATCTGATCAACAGGTAAGGGAACCCATACATATAACTGCTTCTTTTATTCTTGCATATAAGGTCTGGACTTAAAACTGCAACTGAATCAAATCAGACTGTCTTGCTTCAAACAGCAACCCATTATCCACCATTAGACTGTAGTCTTAAATTTGCTAGTTTGGCTACTTCAACTCAATGACCTTATCTATTTATCCGGAAGCAAGCCTCACTTACTTTGGAGTTTGCTTTTCTTCAAGTGAGCTTGCTTTTCTTCAAGTTAGTGTGCTTAGGCATATTTTCCTGGACATTAGCTCCACTGAGAACAGCAGGACACTTTTCTGAATAAATAGACATGGGCCTTCCTTGCCTGTCCCATTGAAATAGCAAGGGCTTATTTTCAAACAAATATGGGAAAGAGCTGGGTTTCTTAGCTGATCTTAAGCCCTGCATTCAGAAATAACTTTCCCCCTCAGAAATTCAAATGGGGCTCATTCCCAAATAAAGACATTTCAAAAGGCCTAAGATGTAGGATTTCCCGCAGTCACATGACTGATCTACTCATAAATCTGTTTGCAGCAGCCACACCAATTCCTAATCACAGATTGCACCACTTTAATCCCTTACTTCCTTCCACTTCTTTTTCCCAGCAATACCCTTCCTAAAACAGCCTTTCTAGAAGCTAAACTATAACCTAGATTTCTTAGAAGAAATAGAAAGAAACTGCACATCCCCAGAAACATCCTTGGGCAGCAAAACCATCTTGATATAGCGTGTTAAGGCATGAGGGAAACCATGTGTTCTAATCCCACCTTGAGCACGAAGCCATCTGAGGGACTTAGGCCATTCCATCTCTCTCGTGAAGGAGGCAAAGACAAGCCACTTCTAAAAACATCTTCCCAAGAAAACTGCAGACTAGCCAATGCAGTTGCCAGGCATCAAAAACTGACCTGAAGGCATACACAAACAAAAAATTGGGAAGAGTTCACATTATACTTATGTACAGTATGTATTAATAATATTTTGTACCATCCCACTCAATCAATTCTGGACAGTGGATACACTAATATTAAAGTAAAAAGTGATCTCTTAAAAACAACTCCTGCCCCAATACAAAAATAATCAAACCAGCATAAAATATAATAGTCAACCACTTTAATCAGATTAGGTATCCCAGTATGTTGTAGGCCTACTTTAAAAGAATTGCTTTTAAGTTCTTTTCTGAATATTATGACTCACATTTCACAATTTTGGCGTTACCACAGAAAAGGCCTGTTTTCTGTCCCACATTTTTTTCGGGACAAAACCTTGAGCAGGCTGTTTCTAGATAACCTCACAGAAGGAACATAATCATTTGGGACAAGGTAATCCCTAATATTTTAGGTCACAGTATTTTTACATAAAATATAACTTGTTCAATCAGCCATCATGCCTCATGGTTAAGTTACAAACTATAGTTTGGAACTGTTGGAAGAAATCTCCTTCTAGGTTCCGCTCCAAGTGGGGAAAAAAACACTGGAAACATGGAGACTGCTTGGAAAGATGGTTTAATTGTGGACAGGATCACATGGCTTGAGTTCCTGAAAAAGAAAAGAGCAGATACAGTAAATCCTCGGGTTTTATGCTCTCTCTGGCTTTGCATTTCTTGGGGCCCCGAAAGAGTATCCTGATTGGTTGTCAGACTCCCCGGGGGTGGGGGTCTTAGCTAGCCTTGCTGGTTGATGGTCACATGTGCTTCCCAGGTCACGTGGTGAGTTTTGGTTGCTAGATGGGGCCCATTGTGTTAGTTTCTGTTGCTATTGTGTTGCAAATGTCCTTTGACAAAGGATTGGGTTTCTGCCTCTGGCCCATTGACAAAGGGTGGGGGGCAGAAAGGTGGGAGCTGCTTCAAGCCATGCTTATCCATTTCTCATCCAGGGAAATATAATATTCTGCCTTTTTCATATTTCCTAAAATATTTCACTCTTCCAGGAAAGGGGTGGGTGCTAACTTCCTACAGAACCTAATGGGAAAGTCCATACAAACACAATGCACAAAACCAGTTTGCACCATGCTTTTCCTTGATGTGCTAACCCATCAACATAACTTTTTAAAACATAAATTTAACGGATATAAACCTCAGAAGAAGAATAAGCTACTTTGCAGGCTGATACACAGTACTAATTTGTTTGAATGGTGATTTGTTGAATAATCTACAGTGACTGATTCATATATTATCATGTTTATGAATCATAATATGGCTTACTTGGATCTGGCTTATGTGAATTCAGCCACAGGTTTAATAACTTATGGTTTGTTGTATGTTGTTTCAACATACACATTGTGTTTACCCAACACACTGAACCACAACTAGGCAATGATATTTTAGCATGATGCACAGTGCAAAACAAACCTTTGTGATTAGCGTATGTCACAGAGACTCAGAATATTGGTGAATTCAACTAAATTTAACCAGGGGTAAATGTGTCACGCAAACGTAGTCACACAAAATTCTTTAGAACATCCTTCTCCAACAGGGCACATACAGATGGGTTGGAAGTAAAACCCATCATTCCCAGCCAGCATGGTCATAGGCCCAACTGGTTGGAGATGATGGGCTTTGTAGTCCATTAGACCTTAAAGGACCAGCTAAAGTACTCAGGTTAAACCCTTTGCTTTCTAAACCTGGGAGCAGAATCAAAATCCCGCCCGGTGGATATGTCTCCACGGATTCATTTCTTTCTCTGCCCACCAAACCCCTCTGCTGAGTAGAGGTTCCTACACCCCCTCCTCCATTTCACTCCACAGCCTCATTTAGTAAGAAGCCCTGTTCATCTCTTCCTCCAGGCTTGTTATGGTTTCCCACTGAGCCCCCTTCCATCTTCTTCCAAAGCCAGCCAAAATACCGAACCTCTCCCTGCTCCTTCGCAGAGCGCTCCCCTCCCAAAAAATTAAAAAAAAAAAACTTTCCAGCTTTCCAGGCAAAACCGGACGATCTTCGAGACCACAGAGGCTCAGCTACCTCAAAAATCATATAAAGGCCGTCCAGTTAAAACTAGACTCAGGTTACAATTCCTGGGTGGCTCAGGTCTCCTGCTAAGGAGGCGAAGGGGAAGGCGGGCCTCGGGGAGGCCACGGAGAGGGATGGGCCGAAGGAAGGAGGGAGCTTGCAACATTGCCTTGCAGAATCACCATTTCCAAAGGCTTCCACGGTGACAAGAGGTTACTCGGCGTGGTGGCGGCTTTTTCCTTCCAGGTTTTTTGTTGTTGTTGTTGTTGTTGTTGAAAAGCCAGGAAAGGAGGATAAAGGAGAGGCCGAAGCTGCCCACCCAATGGCTAGGGGCTCCCTTTCAAGCAAGCACCCTCACTCCCAGGGGTGGGGAGATCAGCGGTAAAACAAAACACCACAGAACAAAACGGCCAAATCAGAGCGTCGGAGGTGGTGCTCCTGTTCTCAGGTAAGGGCTTTCCGCTTCAGTGCAAAGAAAAAGGGAGGGTCGCAGGGCACGGAAAGTTTGCACGGGCAAGAGCCAGCCAGCCCTCAGCTTGCTTTGAAACAATGAAAGTTGGTCCGCTGTAATTTGTTTTAGCCTCTCTGCCTGTTGCCGGGTAGAGAAGTTTCTCGGGTTGTTGTTATTGGTTTTTTTTTTTTTTTTTTGGTTCCTCCTCCGGGAAAGCACTGCTCCCCAACGATTCCAAGTAAGTAGGGAGGGATGCTGGCTGGGTCTTCCTCCGCAGAACCTGGTCTCGCAACTCCGACTCGGGAAGGAGGAAGGGCAGGGAAATTCGTGTTAATTGAAAGGTTAGCCCTGCAAAACGAGTCTTAACTCGCTTAGGGAAAATACAGCTTTAAAAAAAAAAAAAAAACCGGCTTCAGTTCTTCTGGTCCAGGAAGAAGGAAGATATTTTGGTTTCATCAGGCATGGGGACAAGAAATGGCTTCTTCCCAGCCGGTTGGGATTTTAAGAATCTCAGGGTTGGTTTGTAAAAATATATATATATTTCTGGTCCACATGATTAGTAGAGATGGGTGAAGATTTTCATTGGGTGATGGCACTATTCTGATGGGGGCGGGAAAGCGCTCATATCTGCATCCATCATTCCCTCAAACACTGAAGTTTCATGCTAACAATCCTAGTTCTCTTATTTCCACACTTCGCCTCTGTGTGTTATTTTTTTCCAACAAGTGGAGTTGCAGAACTATGTACAGCAATAAGATAGCATGAAAGATAATAATGGAAGCCACACTTAGAGTGGAACATGATTTGTTTGTTCATTGAATCCAAAGTTTGTTTGGAAGAAAGTTGCCAGCTAGGCAGGAGTTTTAGGCATAGGTTTGGCTGAAGGTTACAGTGGAGCGAGGAATCACAGGTGCTAAATCAAAAGGTTAGGGTGTGTTGTTCACACAAAGTTTGAAGGTAATATGGTACTAACCGTGGGGAAGAAGGTATTTATGCGATATATCTCGGCTGCTTGAGTGGTAGCACTTTAAATGTTAGGCTGGCATGAGGGAGTCCCTCAGCCATGGAATCCCACAGTGACTTCGAGCAAGTTGCTGTCTCTAAGCCCAGCTTGTGTCACAAGATTGTTGCTGTGGGATAAAGTAGAAGTCCTTTTGATTAGAGGAGAAGTGGGATGTAAATGAAATCTATCAATAAATGAATATGCCCACTGCTCTGGCACCACAGGAATCAGGAAATCAAAGCTAGGCCTGGTTTCATGTGTAATCAGTACCACAACTATTTCTTCATTGGCTAATTACTGCTGAATCCTGGGTTAATTTTTTTTCAGATTAAAAAAAAATACTGGTTTTTTTACTGTTTGTGGGTGGTGGGGTCCTCTGGGCACCATGCCCATAAAAGGGAGGTCTCCATGAAGAAAGGGAAGGAGAAGAGATGCTGTACCTAAATTAAACCTATTTAGGAGTTGCTGTAGCTGCTTCTTTTTGTATTTGGAGGCCAGAAAGAAGAATTTGCCTTGGATAAAACCCTTCTCTGAAGGACATAAGGAGTGCAGTCTGGTAAAAGCAATTGTGACTTCATGCCTTACTCTTAGTTTTTACTTTTACCAGATTTACAGGGCCTAGCTGGGTGTATTGTCTGAACATGGATTTTCTCTTCTAATTTCCTACTCTTTCTTCATCCACATGAGTCTGTCCTTTCACATAGCTGAATACACTCAATATGAAGAAGACTTTAGCTGATTAATTGAGTAGAGTACTCAAATAGTTGATACCAGTTAGGATAGTTGTTGATGTGAAGCGATTAACTCAATTTTATTTTAATTTTTTTTCAAAATATTTGCTCATTCTAGTGAGAGGTGAAATGGTGTAACGTGAAATAAGAGAGTGGTGTTTTTTTTCTCCAGAAAGAGGAAAATATCCTGAACTAGCCTTTATATATTTATATCCATATATGCTGCATGTTTTTTATTTGGCATCAGTCTTTTTCAGCCAGCACTCCCCAGATGTGTTGGAGAATTCCCATCATCCCCATGTGTCATATGGTCAGAGTTCTAGTCCGGGGTCCCCAACACCTGGTCCAAGGACTGGCACCGGTCTGCAGAATACCAGAAAGCAGGCCTTGTGAACAAGCAATGCTCTATTCACAGGATGCAGGCCGCACACGAAGCCATGTCCCCTCCGTTCCATAAAAAACCTCTCTCCATGGAACCAGTCCTTGGTGCCCAAAAGGTTGGGGGGGTGTCACTATTCTAGTCCAGCACACTTGAAAGATACTAGGTTGGAAAAGGCCTACCTATGTCCTTTTCCAAAAAATCACCAAAGGTCATTATTTCTCTTGAGAGCCAACAAAAGCATTTCTGACCCCACATAATGAACATTCTATTCTGATTTGCCAGTAATGAATATTATCTGGCTCATAACACATCCTCCATGGTCTTCCATCATCTGTCAGGTTCATACTGAGGCCTTGGATGAATTTATCACCTTTAGTAATACTTCTGCTACAACTCCTCAAACAACCATAAATTCATAATTTAATCAATTGATTTAAGACAGCGATAGATATGTCACCCTCATAGCTAGGATTGAAGGAGAGGAATTCCAAGATATTGGAAACATTTTTAATTCACGGTTTCTTGAACAGTGAGTTGTGATTCCCAAGGTGTTGCAAGCAACTGAGAGAAGGATTCGCAACTGTTTTAAACTTATCCAGATTTGTGCAAGCAATGAAAGAGTTCAAAACTTGTTCGGGTTTTGGCCTGCACTGGGCAGTTCATGATACTGCAGAATTGTAGAAGCCTTTTGTTTGTGTGAGAGAGAAAGAGAGAATAAATGTTCATTATTGAAAATAAATAATATAATTATTTCTTGTCCATCTCCAATTCCAATGATAAAATTCATATTTGGAGTGGGGGGGGGAGGATTTGTAGGAATGGATTATTACCACAACATTATTTACCACAACATTTGAGGTGACAAATATAATGATTCAAAGATGGGCAAAAGAGCAAACATCTGGGGGAGGGTAACCAAATAAATGCAAGTACCTTATAGTATAAGTCAATTTCATTATGGTTTCACACTTCTCTGTATTTGAGATGTAGTTGCCTTGGGGTGAAACAAATGTTCTCAAACATTCAGGTTTTCAAATTTGACTTCATATTAGTTTGAAAGTTCATTTTTACCCCCAGATTTGAACTGCGTATGTTTTATAATTCTTCAATGCTTTGAAGCAGGAGTGAAATCCAGCAGGTTCTGACAGGTTCTGGAGAACCGGTAGCAGAAATTTTGAGTAGTTCGGAGAACTGGCAAATACCACCTCTGGCTGGTCCCAGAGTGGGGTGGGAATGGAGATTTTGCAATATCCTTCCCCCAGGAGTAGGGAGGGAATGGGGATTTTTCAGTATCCTTCCCCTGCCACACCCACCAAGCCACGCCGACAGAACCAGTAGTAAAAAAATTTGAATTTCACCACTGCTTTGAAGACTGGCAGATTATGGAAATACCTCTTTGACACCTGCTCAAACAAACGTGTAAAATATCAATGCATGCTAATAATCAAACACCAGGAAGTAACAAACAAGAGTGGCATTTTGTATTTGACCAAATGCTATCAAACAGGAATACTGAAATAAAATTGTATAGGATACATGTTTGTATGTACCGTATCATGCACAAGTTGTCCTTGATTTTCAACTGGTTGATTTGCGACCGTTTGAAATTATGACGGATCTCCCAAAAGTTACTTACAACCTATTTCTGGAGTTAGAACAATGGTGGTATTGAGCCAGTTCAGATCGGTTCGGGCAAACCGGTAGTGGCGACCTGCGGGTGGGGGTGGCATTTTCAGTGGCATTTTCTCAGTTCACCACCAGTGCTGGCCAGGTATTTTAAACCTCAAGTAAACTGGATTGATTTTTTTAACATGTTACAGGGATTGGTTAGTAGAAAACCTTATGCAATAATATCCTCTTCTTAAGAAAACTCATAAGTGCACAGTATAAGAAACCTCTGGGATACATTGTTAAACATTTCTGTAAGAAAGTTCCTCTTCATTTACGCTTTTCAGTGTAAATTAACAACCATAAAATTACATGCAGTTCACAGGTCTCCAAAACTTGTTTTCCTTTCTTTCTTTCTTTCTTTCTTTCTGACATTTTCTTTTTTATATATTTTATTTTAATCAACTGTACATTTCGATTGGCATTTTACCAGTTCAGCATCAGCGTTTTCTAGTTTCTTTACAAATCATATTACAATTTCCACATATCCAGCTGACAGAAGATTTATTATCAATTATTCTCCCCCTAGAGCCTGCAAAATGAGCATTTGTCATCCAGTTTTTTCAAGTAAGGAACTTTGTTATATTTTTTCAAGTAGAACTATTGACCAAATTTGATTCTTCAATTTTTTTAAATTGATAAATTACCCAACTATTTTCAATGTTGTGCAATTAATAATTTAGTTACCAAAGTTCCTGGCGACTGCCTTGACTAGTCTCTGCAGTTTTCGTGGAAAGATTTCAGAACCGATTTGCCATTGCCTGCTTCCTCAGGCAAAGAGATCTGGCCCAAGGTCACCCAGCTAGCTTTGTGCCTAAGGTGGAACTAGAACTCATAGTCTCCTGGTTTTTAGCCTGGTACCTTAACCACTATACTTATAAATACTTTACCCCATATCCTTTCCAACAAGTATATGTACCTTTGTTGATGTAAAATTATTTTTTTCTTTCATTATAACATTCAGTTTATCAAAGAACTTTTTTTTTCCAAAAATTGGATACTTTGTCATATATCCATGAAAGTTAAAAAGCTAATTCCTATTGTTGTTTTGAGGTAATTTTGGGATATTTGAGCAATGCTTTATGAAGCTTTTAAATGCCAGTGACGCAAACTTTTCAAATACTATATAAACTGCTTTCCAGATCAATCTCCCATGCATTTTTCAAATTCTGTACAGTTATCTATTTCCAGTAATAACATACCCTGTTTCCCCCAAAACAAGACATCCCCTGATAATAAGCCCAATTGTGCTTTTGAGCGCATGGCAATAAGGCCAAGCGCTTATTTCAGGGTTCAAAAAAATATAAGACAGGGTCTTATTTTCGGGGAAACATGGTATATATTTTGGAGATTGTGTTTTACATTGAGAAAGATAACTTTTAATAGTAATTTCTCAAAATTTGTTTACGGGTGATTTGTAAATAATTTTAACTTTTTTACACAAAAATAGTTCATATGATTCCACAAAACCACAATATTTTATATTCTAATTGCTGCTCTATCTATTCTTTACTATGAGCTAAAGAATTCTTATAAAAATCTTATTCTATACACAGGCAGCCCTTGACTTATGACCGCAATTGAGCCCCAAATTTCTGTTTCTTAAGCAAGGAAGTTGTTAAGTGAGTTTTGCCCCATTTTGCAACCTTTTTTGCCCCAGTTGTTAAGTGAATCACTGCAGTTATTAAGTGATTCATGCAGTCATTAAGTGAAACCAGCTTCCCCTATTGATTGCTTGTTGGAAGCTGGCTTCCAAATGGTTGCAAATAGTGATCACATCACCCCACGATAGTGAAACTATCATAAATTCATAAGTGCCCAAATGTTGATCATAGGACCATAGGGATGCCGCAATGGTTGTAAGTGTGAAAACAGGCATAAGTCACTTTTTCAGTGCATTGTAACTTTGAAAGGTCACTAAATGAATGGTTGTAAGTTGAGGACTATCTAAATTGATTTTTATTTGTTTAGTTTAGTTTTAGTTTAGTTCATTTCCAATTTATATACTGCCCTTCTCCCTGAGGACTCAGGGCGGTGTACAGCCAGAATTAAGAACATGAAATACAAATATTAAAAAACAATTAAAATATATATAAATTTGGCCCAAAAATTAAAAATCACAAACCAATTAAAACATTTAAAAATTTCTTCTTAAGCCAGCCCGGCTTGCTGGAAAAAGTGAGTTTTAAGGGCACGGCGGAAGGCACTGAGGTTTCGGATAAGCTTTTATTAACAAAGTAAAACTAACAAACAACGCTTATAAAACGTCTTCAAAGGCAACACCCAGGAACTGGAAACACCTCATAGAGGCACATAGAGATAAAGTTTAAAAGCAACACAACCCCATAACATCTCCCCTTTTCTAATAACAGCAACAGTTTCTACAACTTGAGTCTATCAGCGGGGCATGAGCATCTACCACTCCGAGTAACGACTGGCTCTCTCACACCTGACTCTCTCACGTAGGCCGGATCTCTTCGCTCGCCATTTTCTGAAGCCTCGGATGTTTGGCTATCACCAGACGCACCAACTTGCTCAGGACTATCATCAATGTCAGACGAGCATTCATTATTATCCTTAAGTAGGTTTGGCTTGGCAACTGGCTCTGACCCACCCACTGGATATGAGGAGTCTGGTTGCTCAGCCACATGCAAGTCTGGTTGCTCAGCCACACGCAAGTCCACACGGTTCTGCCAATATCGGGTTCCTCCAACCTCCACCAAATAGGAGCGAGGTGCCACTTGTTGTAAACAGGTACCCCTTTCCCAACGGCCAGTCCGATCTCCAGGCAGTGGTCTCATCGGAATTCGTTCTCCTACCTTTAACTCTGGCAAGTCTCTTGCAGATCTATCATATTTGGCCTTCGCCACTTGCCTCCTCTGCCGTAGCCTTTCCAGGACCCCTTGTATCACCACAGGCTCAAGCAATTTATTTGGCCAGTTCTGTATCGATTGTAAAACTCACATAGATCATTTGGGATATTAAACTAGATGCATGTTATAGAATTGCTACATATATACTTCTTCATAATATTGCTTGTCTTTTTAAAGAATAAATGGCTTAAGTACTTATTCAAATCATATTTTCAACATCTAGCCACTGTTCTCACTGATGTTATTTTGGATAATGACAGAGCTGGCATATAAATTTAATAAATAAATCTTTCAAAATGGATGGGATGGGATGACCTAGTTTGAGAATATAAGTTAGAGATAGATTCCCCTCTCTTTTTCCGAGAACTACAGATTATCTTTCTATTGATCGTTGGATTTGTTTTTGAATTAAATACAGTGTTTCATCATTCTTTTTCCATTCTGTGAAAAACTTTTTCTAGGATCTCCATAGGGAAGGCCTGACATAAGACATTTAATTTTGAAAAGGCCATTGTTTTACCTATAGCAATTCTATAGTTAAATATTGACACAGGTTTTTGTTCTAGTGTTTAGGGTTTTAATCTTATATTAATCAACAAGCAGAACAAAAAAAATTATACAAAGCTAACAAATTTTAAAATAACATGAAAGACTCTGAAAGAACTACTACAAGGTGAATGCATAAACCAGAGAATAATAATTAAAAAGAAGCCCTTACAATTAGCAGTTAATGAAATCTTGATTGGAAAACAGTAATTTATTGACAAAATGAATGACAGGCTTCCAAAAAATTCCAGAAAAGTTAAAAATAAGAGAAAGATTGGATATTTTAGATTTTTTTTAAAAAAAATTGATGTTGAAATTAATATCTCCCCAAATTTCTAAAGCATTTTTAAAGTAGAAGAATGTTCATTGTCCCTTTTTTCTTATTTATAGAAGTACTGTATATAGTAAAAAAAAAGTGTAAAATTATAGAAACTTAACTCATGAATAATAAAATCAGACAATTAAATATAGGGAGATGTTATTAACTTATAACATCTGTAGATGTATGTAATATTAACTTTCTCAAGCATAGCACACTCCTGAAAAAAGAAGTTGCAATATTTTGCAGAAGTATCAGGTTTAACATTTAATGTAAAAAAGCCCCCAAATTACTGTGTATTCATACTCTCCCGGAATACAAAGTATCCAATATCTTAGAAATACCTTGGATACATGAGTCTTTGAAATATTTTAGTACTGAGTTAACAATATTTTTTTTTTTAAAAAAAACAATCATTGAATAACAACTGTGTTCCAGCACGGCAAAAAATAAACTCCAGAATTTTCTTTGTTTTTACTCCTCTCAGCCACATTGGGATTCAAGTCCTGCTGTAAATCCATAAACTGTCTGTTCTTTTCAACTGCATCTAAGAAGCTAGAACTGAGCAGCCTGTTTTTGAATAGCAGCTCCGGCTTCTTTGTTTGTCATATCATTCCAGTTAGATCCTTTTATTGTTGAGTCTAGTCTTGTTTGTGGCCACCCCCACTCTATGCTAAGTCCCAAGGTCAGCTGCTGCTAATTGCAAAGCAAGGATAGGCATCCCTGCAAATCAGGGAAGGATTTACCTGTCAACAACCCCCGGCTCCATTCCAACTTTTATCTCCCCTTCCCTGCATTTCAAAGGGGGATATCTGAATTCCTTGTCCATTTATTCTGCCTCCATTTTTGCAGCTGCAGTTTTGGGTTCCTCAAGCTTTGAAGCCATTGGTTACAAACTAGGAATGTCCTTTGGTGTGGAGGGCGGAGTAGCATTGGTGTCTTGTACATCTCGTTCTGGGGCTACCTCTGTTTAAACATGTTTGGCAGGTTTCAGGGAAAATGAAATCAATGTTAACACCGCCGCCATCACCCCAGTAAAACCTGTTCAGAGGAAAATGTGGGATGTGTAGGGATATGGCAATGAAACTTCTTTGAAAGTGCCTTCAGTGCTTCTCACAACAGAAATCACAACAGAAACCCATTTACCAGCCACAAACTACTTGCATGCTAAAGACTCATACTATAGAAGAGCTAGTAAAAAAAGTGGGGGGGCATAGCAATTGGGAAACTTACCTCCAAATCCTTTGCTCCAATATTCATGTAAATTAATTATCTATTAGTTGTCTCATGCCTTTCTGGAAATGACTCGCTGCTGGAAAAGTTGTAGGTTCAGAAATACCGGTTTGTGTTTCCAGCTTCTGACCTCACCTTTGCTATTATGCATGATTTTGGATTTATTGCTGCTGCTTCTTTTTTTTTAGCCTCCACAGTTTAACCTTCTGTGAAATGGAAGCTTGGGCCCTTCTCCGCTTCTTCTCTGAAGATTCAAATTCTTCAGCAAATAGTTCACGTTTTTGCGTTTTTGCTTCACTTCGCTTTGAAATGAGTTGGTTGGGGTTCAGGGGTGAAATGCTCCCGGTTCGGACCAGATCGCCCAATCTGGTAGCAATGGAGGTGGGTGGTTCGGAGAACCGATAGCAAAAATCCCTGCCCCCCCCCCATGCCCAGCTGAGCCGCACAATCATCAGAGGCTTTTTCATTTAATTTTTAAAAGCACTTTTTCTACAACCTCTTCAGCCGAAAAAATGCTTTTAAAAGTAAAAAAAAAAGCCTCTGATAATCGCGCGGCTCAGCTAGGATCGTCAAAGGGATCGTCAGCTGATGATCCCAGCTGAGTTGCCTGATTGGCAGAGGCTTTTTTCCTTTTAAATGCCTCTGACGATCCAAGCTGAGTTGCCTGATTGGCAGAGGCTTTTAAAAGAAAAAAGCCTCTGCCGATCAGGCAACTCAGCTGCGATCGTCAGAGCCTTTAGAAAGGTGAAAAGGTTGTAGAAAAAATGGTTTTAAAAGGAAAAAAAAATTGGCCATGCCCACCCAGTCACATTACCCCCACCACACCAAGCCATGCCCACAGAACCGGTAGTAACAAATTTTAGATTTCACCACTGTTGGGGTTGATTGTGCTCACTGTGATCGGCATTTTGCTTTCCCATCCTGAAAGGATGGCTAGAGACCTCATACAAAATAAAAGCCAGGAATAGGATAAAAAGAGATCCTGATTTTTGGAGGTTTGTTATTTCTTCACCACTACATTAATGGAAAAGGTAGTAAGGAGGGAAAGAAATTTCTAGGAAGACTCTTACTCACTCATCTGTCCTTTCTTCCTCTCTGAATTGGTGGCATTGGCCCATCCAAAGGACCCTCTGGATTAAAAAGAAGGTCATTAGAAGACTAGTTTAAGAAAAAAAAATCCTTGTCCATTCAATATTAAGTTAAAAGTAAATCTGCCTACCTCACCAAACCCTTTACTCGCATCCCTTTGACAACTGCTTCCCTTATGACATCACTGGAAAATGAACCAATTGTAATCTCTTTTGTCAAGAAAAGCCAGTTTTATTATTTGTGTCCAGCATTATCTTGGCATTAGGAAGATCTACCTTTCCCCCATTGGTATCTTCCAGATGTGCTGGGACAGCTGGAGGTTGCCAACTTGGGGAAAGAGACAGTAGATTTTAAAAGTCCTGTGAGGGGTGGTCAGGTATTAATAACCCATCTGGCCCTTTCTAGTTATTTTCATCATAACTCACTCAGCACTTTAAAAAGAAAACAATCAGTTGATGTAAAGTAATGGCTGATGCTCTTCTGCTGACTGAAACGATGTTGTAGCACATTGCAGAGCCTGCCAAAGAGAAAGCCCAAATAAAGTAGATGACTAAAGAAAATTCAATACTGCATAGCCAGTGGCCATGAGGTAATTTCAGATTCTGGGCTTAATTATGTTTCTCTGTGCATCTTTAGAGGGCAATGAATATTGCTTCAAAATGTGTTATGTCCTAATGTTCGATTACAAGCTGCACACTTCTATACAAGAAGTGAATAAGATGCATTATAGGAGCTTTCTTCCCTTTAATCAGAGTGAGATGCCTGCTGAGAAGCTGTCTCTTGGGGGACATGAAAAGGCAGCAGATTTGTTAGTTAAGAGCCCTGATCTGGATTGTTAGTGTCCTTGTTCTCTAGATTAGGGCAAGCCTGTTTGCAATAGGCCCTCCTTCGTGTCTTGGGTGAGATGGCACTGAGATCTGGGTTGTGGTATACCATTTTCGAAACATACCTACTTGGGTTTCAGGTTTGGCATCAGCTGATATCCCAGGACAGGGCTGGAGAGAAAGAGCAGCTAATGTCATTTGGCCAGCAGTGATGGCTTCTATAGGCAGTGCCCTGCATTATTATGTTAAAATGTTTCCTCTGGGTTAAAGTTAAATTTTGGGGACACATACATATGACACTACATGTGGCATGCCATTCATACACTGATTTTGTACCCGGGATGGAATTTTGCAGGGTGGAATTGTCAACCTACACTATGTCCTTGTCAATTTTAACAGCTTTATTTGCCAGAATTTAACTCTGAAAATCTCATTTTATATGGAGATAAAGGGGGGGGGAAGGTTTCCTGGGGAATATTCTGGCAGTGATCCAAAAAATAAGGAACTATCTGATCAATAAAATATGTAAATGGCTATGGAAATGGTCTTGAGGCATTTGATGTCGCTGATACCATTCAGATGCAATCACAGTGAGAATAAGTGGTGGAATTCAATTTTTTTTTACTACCGGTTCTGTGGGTGTGGCTTGGTGGGCGTGGCAGGGGAAGGATACTGCAAAAATCCCCATTCCCGCCCCACTCCTGGGGGAAGGATATTGGAAAATACCCATTCCCACCCCACTCTGGGGCCAGCCAGGGGTGGTTTTTGCCAGTTCTCCGAACTACTCAAAATTTCCGCTGCCGGTTCTCCAAACTGCTCAAAATTTCCACTACCAGAACCTGTCAGAACCTGCTGAATAGCACACCTGGTGAGAATCCTGTTGCACTTTTCACATTATAGCCTATTCATTATACTTCCTCTAGGGCAGAGTAGTTCTCAACCTGGGGGGCCATGATGTAGACTTAGGAGGTTTGTGAAACCTAGAAGAAATCAAGGATGACATCCAAGAATCCCCTAAATGTCTAAGAGCAAAACCTCTACCAGCTCTTTTTTCTCTGGAGAAATAATTTATATTGTTTACAAATTAAATGTTCTGATCACAGAATGAAACACTACTGGACTCCACCACACCTATAAACTGAACATCACCTCTGCCTATAACAAATGGTTTTGCTATTAATCATTGTAACACAAATCCATTTCTGAAACCTCAAAGGTCCTCTGAAGATGATCCTCAGTAACACAAAACAAAAGGAAATCCAGATGATATCCTTCTTCCACACTTAGTCACAGATCCCCATTTAATCCTTTTTGGCATCCATCAGTCCTGACCCCATGTATAGCCTGATTGAAAGAAATATAAAGAGTGACATATTACCAGAAACTCACATAAAATATCTCTCTCTCTCTCTCTCTCTCTCTCTCCCTCTCTCTCTCTCTCTCTCTCTCTCTCTCTCTCTCTCTCTCTCTATATATATATATATATATATATATATATATATATATATATAATATCTTCCAAAATTATATGGTGTACTGTATTGCTTGCAGTTTCAGATTCCTGGGTTTAAACTCTGATTTAACTGAAACACCCTCTTGCTGGGTTCACACATTACATTAAACCACAATGCATTTCTTTGGATCTGATGGACCTCAGCAATTGTAGCTTGAAAAGCATAATTTTGTCTTAGCAGAATGTGAGAACCCAACTACTGGTGTCAATAGGAGTTCAGTAACTCTGCGCTAAATTCATCCCAAACAACCTTGGACTGTTGTTTTTCAATGTGTCCTACCACACAAGGTTGTTGTGATTATAAAATGGAGGGCAGTCAAAAGAGCCACCTTTTCCCATCTTCTTGAAAGTAATTCTTCCTAACTGATATGTTTCAAGATACATTGCATTTCAAATCCAGAACCTCTGGATGGTTCCAGTTTGAACATGACATCTTTAAGAGAATATATGAAAGCTATAGATATTTTCCATTATCCCTGCTATACAGGTTGTCCTCGATTTATGACCACAATGGATTCCAGAATTTCCATTGCTAAGCAAGACAGCAAGTGAGTTTTGCCCCATTTTATGACCTTTCTTAGCATAGTTGTTAAGTGAATCAGTACAGTTGTTAAGTTAGTAACACAGATGTTAACTGAATCTGGCTTCCTTGTTGACTTTGCTTGTCAGAAGATCACATGACATAAATACATGCCAGTTGTCAAGGATTCAGAATACTTTAAGATATGGGATCAATTCTACCATTGGTTAGAAAAGAAATACAGACAAGGAAATTAATAGCTATGTAAGAAAATGGTATAATTAGAATAGTGTACTTTTGGAGAAATGTTGGAATAGATTTGGTGAAAATGAAGACAGAAGAAACAAAACAAAAAAGTCATGGAGAAAACACTGAGGTGTCGCACGGAAGGGATGATGTATTAAATGTTTGTTTGTGTATAAAATAAATTAAAAAAAATTTTTTTACAAATTTTTATCCCGTGAACCATGAGGATACTGCAATGGTAGTAAGTGTGAAAAATGATCACAAGTCACTTTTTTCAGTGGTGGTGTAACTTTGAACAGTTGTAAGTTGAAGACTACCTGTAATTGCAATTTCTTTCCTTTGCCCAGGACGATGATACAATCATATTGGGTAATAGGAGTCATCCCCAAAGTCATCCCAGAATCTGTTTATTCAAATTCTCCCTTGGCATCTGGCTTTGCCCTTGCTGAGTTGTCTGAGCTCTGGATGAACTAATCAGGCTATGAAAGTATATTTTGTAAAATTGTGAAATAACATAGCATGTAAACAAATGGAAGACGGAAATGAGATGCTTAACTCAGGAATTCTTCTGTGCAACTGGATTAAATCTTTTAATTTTCCTCCCCACAAAGGTATCATTGGAGAACATTGCATGCTGGTTTCAATTTAAGTTAACTATTTTGACTGTCCAGAAATATATAGATTATTATAAGTGCAAAACTGAAAGTGCAGGGCTCAAGTTTCACTTCTGCCATACAGTAGAACCTCTGGTCACGACCATAATTTGTTCCATAACTTTGGTCGCAACCTGATTTGGTCGTGACCTGAACCCTAACCAAACAACAGGAAATTTGGTGCTTACCAAAAAAAATGGTGCGGAATGGGAAATCTGCTGAAGCTGTGTTTGATCGCCACCCAAGTATGTGTTCGTGACCAGATTTTAAAATTTTGTGAATTTTTTGGTCGGAACCCGATTTGGTCGTGGTCAGAAGAATTCTGAGTTCTGGTGGCTCAGCAGACTAAAGCACTGTTATTAACATCCACTTACATCTGCTGCCTGCAATTACTGCAAGTTCAAATCTCACCAGGCTCAAGGTTGACTCAGCCTTCCATCCTTTCTAAGGTAGATAAATTGAGGACCCAGTTTGTGGGGGCAATAAGCTGACTTTGTATAAATATACAAAAGTATGAAGGCTATTGCTTAACGCATTGTAAGCCACCCTGAATCTCTGGAGAAGGGCGGCATATAAATCAAATTTTTTTAAAAAAAATTCGTGACCAGAGGTTCTACTGTAGTTTTATTGGCTCAAACACGTTCACAGTTTCCCCTAGTAAAGTGGTTCTCAACCTTTTCTTCACCACGCACCCCCTTTAAATACCTTTTGTGGCCACGGACCACCAAGGCTTAACTCAAGATTTAAATCATAACTTCTGAGCAATTAGGTAGTCCTCAATTTACAGCAATTCATTTAATGATGGTTCCAAGTTACATCACTGAAAAAAGTGACTCATGACCATTTTTCACACGACCAATGCAACATCCCCATGGTCACGTGATCAAAATGCAGAGGATTCATATTTGTGATGGTTGCAGTGTCCTGAGATCATGTGATCATCTTTTTTGACCTTCTGACAAAGTCAGTGGGGAAGCCAGATTCACTTAATAACCGGGGTTACTAATTTAACAGTGATTCACTTAACAACTGTGGCAAAAAAAAGGTCATAAATGGGGCAAAACTCACTTACCTAATATCTCACTTAGCAACAAATGTTGGGCTCAATTGTGGTTGTAAATTGAGGACAACCTGTGGTTGATTCTACTTAGTTCCCCTAGCTAACCAGCGTGACAAAATTATGGACTCTACACCCTGAGATCCTTGATTAACCTAGTAATCTAGGCCAATATGAGATTATCGGATTAGATCTGGGGTGTCAAACTCATGTCATCACGGTGACATCATGTGACATATCAGGACTTTTTTCCCCTTCGCTAAACCGGGCGTGGGCGTGAAATGAGTTTGACAGCGCTGGATTAGATGCTCATAATTCAGTACTTCCCTT